TGCATGTCTAAATTGATGGGATTAATGTTATTATTTTGAGGGCGTTACATCTGTTTATGGTATAAAATGAGAAGATACATGTGCCCCTTTTATTAGTACACATAGGACAAATATTTAGCACATAAATCATACAACCCAGATTGATCTTATAAGAACATGATGTCATACTGGTTCAGGAATTTTTTCAAACATTTGGTACCTATATATATATTGCCGAAGCAGAAAGCTAAAAATAATTTTATAGCACAAATCCAATTAAACAAATAAATAGAACAAATCCAAGTTCAAACCAACAGAAGAATTCCATCATTGCTAAACCCAAGAAAAATTATTCATTGAAATCCATCATCAATTTACAGCAACGAACCCTATGCATAGATAGTAGAAAAAGCCTAACATAAATATCCTAAACTTCACCCACTTATCATTTCAAATAAAAAATGAAAACAAATCCAAAATTTATGATAGGTATTTCACCACCCAAAAAAATTAAATAAATAAATAATAATAGAAACATATTTCCAAAAATATTCAAGATAAGACATTGATCTTGTTAACATAATCCGTGCATAGCACTGGTTACTACTAGTTCACATATATAGATAATTGTAAAAATAATCTGTGCATAGCACGGGTGATATGCTAGTTGATCAGTAATGGGAAATGAAACTCTCTGAATTTGTGGCAAATTTTTATCAAGGTATTTTGTAGATTTGGAGAGAACTAGTCATGAGTCAAGTGAAAGCTAATTTGATATACTTTGATCAAGGTATTTGGACAGCAGTAGCTACTCTCAGTGGTCTGGTACATAATCTGTTAGGATGTCTGGTTCATAATCAGTTCTATTTTGGCCAAATTCAAACAATTTGCAAATACATTAGTCTACATTGTACTTTGGACCTTTACTACTTAAATATGTTCCATCTCAATCTATGTTATATACTTGGAGAACTAAGGAAAGATTAGAGATAGACAACGTCATATGATTTTCTTTGTATGATACTGTAGACGCGGCCGTGGGCCTCACTACAGTTCGGACTCAATTTGTGTCACGATTCTAAATCTGAACCAAAGAGTCCAAATCCGGAAAATCGTTTTGAGAAAACAGATTTTGAAAGAAGTGCCAAACATGGACTACTTTGCCAGATACAGAGTCGCCACCTAAATGTTTTATTTTGGGAAATTTAGGAAACCCTGACTCGTTGCCTAAGGCCACGTGTCCGTCATCACCAAAGTTGCCTCGGCTCGGGAACTTGGGTACGATTGGGGAAGGTCACTTCGTGAGCACCCCCGCTCGCCCGATCAAAGATCGGCCTCTACTAACCGGATGATATCAGTTTGAAAACATTATGCGTCTTATTCCATTTATTAGCCTAGAATTACTATGTTATGCGCACAGCAAACAAGTATAGACCAATCGCCTAAAATTGGAACAAAACATTGCATGTTCGTTTTGAAGATGGTTTGTTACTCGCAAGTAAGCTAAAATGTAGGTTTTGCCCACCCTCGAGTGGGCTTTAGAAAAGATGGTTTTTGCCACTATCTAAGTGGGCTAAAACTCACAGTTTTAATGCATATTCCCATTTAGGTAATTCAACCTCCATCCACAGGCATTCAACCCAGTTATATCACATAAGCAGCTAGCCTCATGGTAATCATGCTATTATGCAACACTCACACACATGCTGGTATGCTAAAGCATAAATGCTTATACCTAGTACTCTGTGCCAAACAAGAACATGTTAGCAATCATGCATTATCCAAGTCCATGTTTTAAATGCCTAATGCAACGCATACGGAATCTCACTAGAGTAGGCTCGGCTAGTCTAAATGACATGTGAAAATGCACAAGTAGCATGTATTCAAGTTAGATTTGAAATACTTATGCAGTTAGTATGATGCGCCGAGCCTGGTGCATGCAATACTGATGAATGAATGCACGCATGCATAGCATAAGGTATGCTAAAAGAAACATGTCCTAATTACTAACCATCAAAAGCAGGTAAGTAAAAAGGAGGAAGAAGTGGGGTTGGAAGACATGCACAACACGCACCCACACTTTTACAGATTCGCCTCGCTCGGAGGGACAAAGAATAATAAATTAATTAACCTACAAGCTAATTAATTATTACAGACCACCTAATTAATTAAGCAAATAAATAACTAGCTAAGAAAAAGCAGTAAAGGCCTCGGGAGAGGATCCAATGCGCGCGTGCTCGGGTTTGCTCGGAAATCCAACGCCATGCACAAGTTTGCCTTCACTTTGACTATTTTGCTTCTCTGAAAATTGCACCAACTTCCAAGGTTGCTTCTCTGAGTATTGTGGGACACTACTGGTTGAGTGAGATCATCACCGGCCATGGAGAATGGTCACCGGCCACAAATTATGCTCGTCGGCCAAAACCTGTTTTGCCGGTCGGCACCCAACACTGCCGGCCGGCCAATTCTTCCTGCTGAATCTGTTTTGACAGCAACAGAGGATAGAACTTGGCATGGAAATGTATTTCAAGCAATATATACACCAATCACACCCCTTATCATATTCATGACTCAAAGGGATATGATTCTAGATTCTCGAACCACCAATCGCGCATTTCCATGCATGATGGCCCAAAGCAACAAGTGTGCATTTTAATTTCAAATGAAATGTAATGCACATAAACAAACAAAATTGAACTCAACCTCTATCATACTCACTTCAAGAGGTCAAGCATGCATACTCATGCAATGCAATCCTAAGCATGTGAACTAGCATACAACATGGCAATGCAATGCGAATATGCAAGTATGCAAGCAAACATACAGGGTGAGCACACAATCAAGCAAAGGGGATGGACTTAAACTAATTTAGGATGGCTCGCAAGCATGCCAAAATCAGTGGCCGAAGTGCTCAAACATGAGGACCAACACACACACACACACACACATGCACATGTTAATGGGCCAACATTTAAACATCAAAAGGCAACTCTCAAGCTTGCTTGGAAGAGACTAAACATGGACTAAGGGCATGCAATGTAAGCTCCGAAAACCATGCTAATGATGGTGCCAAACCAACTTAACCAAGACAAACATAGCGTACAATTGGTCCAAGTACTTGAGGCTAGTCAAGGAGACTTAAACCATGGCTAAGCCATCCAAGCCTCACAAGGCCAAGAGGGCTTAAAACAGGTTCAAGGTAGGCCTAGACCATGCAAAGGGAACACCTACATGGCATCTAAGTGGCTTAAACATGGAAGCATGCAAAAGAGGCTAAACATGGAGCATACAACACAAGCTTTTAAGGCATCAAAGAGGCATCAAAGGCATGCATGCAAGCATGTTATGAGAACTGAAATAGCATGATAAGTGGTTCCAAACCACTGAAACACTGCAAGTAATGCATGCTACACACTCACACGCCCAAGGCTAACAAGCCAAAATGCAAGGTGGCTATACTAAGCATGTGATGGTCGACCAAAACAACCAAAAACAGAGCTTAAGCATGCTAAAACAAACACAAAAGCTTCACAAAGCTTGGCCAAAATCATGCTAGAACAAGGATCAAAACCTAAAGCATGTTAAGACCTAAACATGGCATTACAAGGCATGTATGCTAAGCAAGCATGGTGTACCAAAACCAACATACAACAATGCTATATTATGACATAATAAGCATGAAAATCAGTCAAGGCATGGTCAATACACACTCAAACTATATGCTCCCTCAAGAGGCTAAAAATGGCCCTTTTCAAGGACAACAAGGAGAGGGGGTGGCCCTCTCCTTCCTAGGACCTCAAGGCACCACCCTCACCTCTGAAATCCCTCAATATTTCAGTGGTGAGGAGGCCCAAACACAATGGTCCCGGAGCTCAACCGAAATGGCACAAAACAAAGGCCAAACAAGCCTTAAGAGGGGTCAAACAACCCCAAAGCTTAAAACACCCTTAACAAACTATTTAGAGCACTCAAAAAAAAGACTTTTCTATGTTATATGTTAAGCTCAAAAACAGTTGCAAATATGGCAAAACAAGCTATGAAAACAAGGCTTAAAAGAGGTAAAAGCTCACCCTTGAAGCACAACAGCAAATCAGCAACTTTTGGACCAAAAAAGGGCTTCAAATCACCCCAAAAATCACCTCCAAAGACCTTAGCTCAATAAAGGGAGTAGACAACTAGGTGTTTGTATGCAAAAGTGCAAAGAAAATGCACTTTTGAGCACAAACAATCCCTAAACCTTAGAGAGAGAGGCAGAAAATATAGAGAGAGAGAGAGATTTTTTGCTCCAAGTTGTATATCTCTTTTCTCTTCCTCTTGTTTCTCTTGCTTTTTTTCTTGTGAGAGAGCTTGATTGATATAGATATGTATCAATCTACAGCTCCTCAGAATAGCCACGTCCAGGTATGGGCTGGGGTATGGCCTGGAATGACAGCTGCCAGCTGTCTGCAGAAATATCTGTTGAAAACCACAATTGGCCTGCCGGCCATCAAAGTGGTCGACCGGTAGTCAGATTGACCGGCCGGCCATCACATTTGGCCAATGGCAACAAGACACAGCCAGTGGCCTCAAGCCACGGCCGGTGGAGTGTAAGGATGTCCCAAAAGCCATTCCCTGCCCTCCAAAGCAAAAAACACAAGTGTTTGGTGAAAACCAGACACAAAACGGTCGAGTCGAGAAATTCTGAGGCAAAGCGATATCAAGATCAGTGAATGCGAGAAATGGTAAATTAACAGGCTTGAAAAGTCATGACTGCCATGTACTCATACAACGGATTCTTCCAATTGGGATGCGTGGTTACGTAGACAAAGAGATTAGTAAAACACTATTTGAGTTAGGTAGCTTTTTCCAGGATTTGTGCTCAAGGACACTGCGCCGTAATGAACTTGAGAAATTAGAGGAACGTATAGTACACATATTATGCAAGCTTGAAAAGATCTTTCCTCCAGCCTTCTTTGATGTGATGGTTCACTTGGCCGTTCACTTGCCGCGTGATTGCATTGGGTAAGACACCTGATGGAAGGATGAGTCAGCCATTTATTGATGGGGTGACATCATTTATCAAATTTGCAATGGCAGTTGTTAACCAGGAAGGTAAAATTCTGTGCCCATGTTTGAACTGTGTGAACTATTATTCCCAAAATCTTCGAAATGTGCAAATTCATTTACTTCAATATGGAATTATGCAAACGTACACTATTTGGCATGAGCACGGGGAACCACGTGTATCAAATGAGGCTCATCATGAAATGGCAATTGATGAAGATGAGGTTTTAGGTGGTATTGATGCCTTAGTGGAAGATCGAATAAGAGGAGAACCCAACGATGCAACCCAGAATGAGGAAGTACAAACGTTTGATAAACTATTGAATGATGCCAAACATGAGGTGTACTTAGGTTACACAAACTACACTCTGTTAAAGTTTGTCATCGAGCTGCTTAATATGAAGGTAACAAACCACTGGAGCAATAAGTTGGTTAACACACTATTGGAGTTTTTAACAAAACTTTTACCAAAAGATAATTTGGTTCCAAAGTCATTTTATGAAGCTAAGAAAATACTTCGTGATTTGGGCTTGTCATATGAGTTAATTGATGCTTGTATAAATGATTGTGTACTCTTTTGGAAGGAAAATGCAAGGTTAGATAAATGTCCAAAATGTAAGGCATCCAGATACAAGATCAATCGTGGCAGGGGTAAGAAGATTCCCCATAAGGTGTTGCGGTACTTCCCATTAACACCAAGGTTAAAAAGATTGTACATGTCAAGAAAGACTGCTGAGGACATGAGATGGCACAAGGAGAAACGTATAAATGACGGAGTATTGAGACATGCCGTCGATAGTGATGAATGGAAGGAATTTGATGTGCAACATCCTCAGTTTGCCCTGGAGCCTCGAAATGTGAGGCTAGGGTTGGCTGTTGATGGGTTCAATCCTTTCGGGAACATGAGCAACTCGTATAGTTTATGGCCTGTAGTACTCATTCCTTATAACTTGCCACCTTGGTTGGTTATGAAAGATCTCTTTCTTATGATGTCACTACTTATTCCTGGAGAATCACAACCAGGGATCGATATTGATGTCTACATAAGACCTCTGGTGGATGAGTTGAATGAGTTGTGGGAAAATGGTGCATTATCTTATGATGCCGTAACTGGTGAGTCTTTCCAGATGCGTGCAACTTTGATGTGGACTATACACGATTGGCCCACATTTGGTGACATATCTGGGTGGAGAACAAAGGATCATTATTCTTGTTACACTTGCAATGATGAACCATATTTTCAATCCTTGAAAGGTAAGACTACATACACTAACCATCGATGCTACTTGCCTTAAAACCACCCCGAAAGGCGAAAGAGTAAGGCTTACAATGGTAAGCATGAGAAGCGAAAGAGATCTTTAAAGTTACCAGTGGAAAAGATATTAGAGCCATTGGACAGAGTGACAGGTGTCACATATGGGAAGCATCCAAGAAATAAGAAAAGACTCTGTCAGGCACCAAATTGGACAAAGGTAAGCATCTTGTATGAGTTACCATACTGGAAGAAACGGAAGCTTCGACACAACATTGATGTTATGCACGTCGAGAAGAATTTTAGTGAAAATACCTTTGGAACTATGTTAGGCATTGATGGAAAGAACAAAGACACCGACAAAGCACGGATGGACTTGGAAGATATGGGTATAAGGAAAGAGTTGTGGTTAACACGTCGTCCTGATGGAACTTATGTCAAACCTAGGGCAATCTTGTCATTGACCCCTGAAGAGAGGGAGGGTTTCTTTGAATTCTTGAAATCAGTGAAGTATCTAGATGGCTATGCTGCAAACATATCAAGATCAGTGAATGCGAGAAATGGTAAATTAACAGGCTTGAAAAGTCATGACTGCCATGTACTCATACAACGGATTCTTCCAATTGGGATGCGTGGTTACGTAGACAAAGAGATTAGTAAAACACTATTTGAGTTAGGTGGCTTTTTCCAGGATTTGTGCTCAAGGACACTGCGCCGTAATGAACTTGAGAAATTAGAGGAACGTATAGTACACATTATGCAAGCTTGAAAAGATCTTTCCTCCAGCCTTCTTTGATGTGATGGTTCACTTGGCCGTTCACTTGCCGCGTGAGGCTATTCTTGGAGAACCGGTGCAATATCGATGGATGTACTGGATTGAAAAGTAATTGTTAAATTGAAAGGTTCGTAATTATATGTTGCATGTGTAACCTTGCTCTTAACTAATTCTCTTTTCAAGGTTTCTCGGAGCTTTAAAAAAGTTTGTTACAAAACGAGCTCGATCAGAAGGTTCAATCGCAGAGGCTTACATTGTCAAAGAGTGCATTACTTTTTGTTCAATGTATGTTGATGGGATCGAAACAGTGCATAATCGACCCGAACGAAATCAAGATCGTGGCGAACGTCACAAAGGGTTAACTGTATTCACAGAAACTACCCGTCCTGTTGGCCTAATCACAAGAGATGCTGATATGTCACAAGAATATCGTGATATAGCTCATTGGTTCTTGTTGAACAATAGCCCCGAGATAGAGAAGTATCTAGAGTATGTTTTTCATTTAAATATGTGTATTCTTAGCTTTGTTAATGTAGTTAGCAGTGCATAATAATCACATTCTTTTGAGTAGGATACACAAAAATCTATTACGGACTCCATCTGACCAAGGCATAACCAAACATTATGAACAAGAGTTTCCCAAGTGATTCAAAGAGCGGGTAAGGCATTTTCAACAGCCAATTCCCACGTTTTAAGACCTGACCCATCTCAAAAAACTCCCACATTACACTTCAACGCAAAAATTATTCGGTGTTACTGGGTGCAACGTACTCATGTTTCTTCTCACCAATCACTTATACATCATGTTTTTTTGTTATTTTTTAATTATTCAATATAAAATTATAAATTTTCATTTTATAATCAATCACAACAATTCTAAACACCAGGTAACTGGCCCGAAGACCACCAAATAACTTCTTCAAATGTAGAGCACCAAGCACAGCGCACAGCCACTTCCACTTCCCAATCCCCACAGAGAGAACGCAGAGTCGAAACGAAAACCAACACGCCTCAGAGCTTCCATGTACGTTCCATGTATGTTCTACACTTCCTTCTTCACACACAGTCTATATCTATATCTATATATACATGAGCTTTGTTATGTATACATTTTATTTTTTTATCCTGGAGTTTTCAGTTTCAGAATTTGGGTGATCAAACCAATTTTGGCTACATTTGCACATGTATGTATGTATCTTGATATATATACATATACTTATTTAGTTATTTTGAATGTGAGCTTTCTTTTCTATTGTATGAATTTTTTTTATTTTTTATTTTTT